TTAATATGCCAACCAATACCACTGCTGCTAAAGCTTTTCTACTCCTAGAATATGCCAATTTTAATGAAGCCTCCCAGTGTTGTATCCTGCTAGTGGACTCTATCCTGTTTCTGCATACACTTCACATTAATTATTAACCAATACTCTGAAAAAGCATTTGAAAGAATGCTATCAAAATAAAAGATATTACATTTCACAATTTGTATAGTATTTCAGTCTATTTCTCATTTTTTTGTAAAGTGTGCATAATTTTTAAAAAATCTGTGTGTAGGAGACATTGTAATCCTGTGATGGCTACTTTTCTTTTCACCCAAATTTTGTACCTATATTTTTTGTTTCTCCAAATAGAACGGTGATGAAACAAAATTACAAAAAGGTTTGGCTTAAACACGCAGAGAATGGCAACAAGCCTAACAAAAGGAATCACTTCCTGTTCTCTTATCAATGTGGCCCCCTATCAGTATACTTATTTATAGTGCACATAAAACAGGCAGTTGTCTCAATATGAATGCAAGACATCTACCCATACTGTCGCCACAGGAATACAAAGCACATTGGGAGGGATTTATCAAAACTGGAGCAGACAAATTCTGCAGCAGATGTGCACTGCAACCAGCTCTCGGTCTCATTTTCAAATCTTACCCGAGGAAACTGAAGAGAGATGCTAATTGGTTGCCATGGGCAACTGCTCCAGATTCTGTGTGCTCCAGTTTTGATAAACCCTCCCCTTATTGTACTTAAATCAATAACCTAACCTAACACCATAGAATTTCTGACACTTCAGCTCTGGCAAACCGTGTTATCAATTTTATTTTTCCTACCGGATGCCATAAAAGCTAGTCCTTAGCAGGTACGTATTTATTTTCAGTGGCTGGATACCAATACTAGCTGCTCTAAAAAAAACAAAAACTCTATGGTCTTTTATACATCTAGATAGTGGCTGTATGTGCCATATAAACATCAATCGTGCACAGAAAATTTACTCAGACCTTAATCTAAAATTCAGTTTATATTCAACCGAAGGACAAAGCAGCACTAGCAAAGCACAAAACTACTCATTGGAAATGGTAAAAAGCAGAGCTGCGGTTGAAGGGAAAACATGCATTTTCAATGAACGCATAATTTGAGTTTATAGCACAGCATTTGTCCTAGACATTTTTATAAAACTCACATTTTGAATAGTTTACTCTTCCATTTTTCTTATTATATTAAATCAGGGGTGGACAAATAAATATGGAATTCAGAAGCCAGCCTGTCCAGTCCAGAAGCCAGCAAGGCTAGGAGCCAGCTCCATTGACAAAACCTCAAAAGTTAAGTCTCAGCTGCCATTTTAAGAAGCATTAGCTACCTGGCTCATGTGATCTGTCTGTCCCTGTATTAAACCTAGAAATTTGTAGATCAGCCAAAAAACTACTTCAAAAATACACCCACAAGTGTGTGTTAAGGAAATATTTTTCATTCAGAGATGGAAAAAAATAACTGAAGTATTGCTGCTAATGCTGATTGTAGGTGCACTACAGCTAACCCCAACCAAAGCTTTGAGAGCCATATCTCACACCAAGCTCCTCAATGTTAAGCTGAGCTGGCCATACCCCTATAGATTATCTGCAGGTTGTCTATGGTCAGATGGAAAAAGTGCAACAGATTCCTCCCTCTACACTAAACTGTGTGGCTGGAGGAATCTCCCACTGGGCCAAGCTTCAGTATCTTGCTAGTCAGCTCTGCTGGCTCCCAAAATACCTGAACAATCTGATTGGATGCAGGCATTGTTCAGGTAGTTTGGGAGCCGGCAGGGCCAACTCCCCGAGTTCAAAAGAATATTCCATTTGATCACACCAGACATTCGCTGGAGCACCTATCCGGTGTATAGTACTCAGTGAAACATATAATGAGTCACCTTCACGCTCATTCAGTATCAACCAGTCACATACCAACTGGCTGCCAATACACATTTCTAGGTACTGCGGCATTGCGTGGCAATACCATGGTGTTAGGTGGCCTCAAAATCACCCAGGGTTCTCAGCCAGAGGGGCTGAGTGGCTCCAGGAAGAAATTACTTGTACCAGAACTGCCTTTTCAGTCCTTTCCTTGTTTTCTGGATCATAGTTGGGATCCCGGAGCCAGGAGATTTCTTAGAGCTCTGGGGGGGACGAAATCTCCATTCCTGGGTCCATGAGTTAGCAGCGACCAGCACCTGATTGTGCACCTGTGTACAACCCTCATGAAGAGTGTGCTGGTATGTGTTCAGGGCCCCACCTGTGAGTCAGGAGAGCTCCACCCTGGAGTCAGTGTGGAGGCCAGTGCAGCAGGGAGCTGTGGGTTCGTGAAACCTATTGTGCGGGTTGGCACGTTACTGAGGTTGTCTGGAGGCGACAGAGAGTGGCCCTGAGGATTGAGGCCGCAGCAGCAAGAGAAAACGTTTACAGGACTGGGACACTGTGAGGGACAACTCGAGCATTGGTGAGCCCATACAGGTTATATGCTGCAGCAAGCTATGTTATGTTGGACTTCCTTTGCGGTCTACCTTTTGAAAGAAAAATAAAGACTTTTGGTTAACGGAAAAACGCTGTGCGAGTGCTCTGTGAGCTCTCCAGTACGGATATCAACCTGTCCATTAAAACAGAGGTGTTCCTCTTCAGTTGTCAAGGTGCCGTAATGCTAATCAACTACATATTAGTTTAGAGGGAATTTCATCCAGGTTTTATTAGCAAGAATTCAAGAAATCAGTCTGTGGGTTTGATAGAATGCTGCTGTAAGCACTTACCTTATTTGATGCTTCTTGATCTGATCATCTTCTTCATTCCGCTGGTTTCCGACCGTCCCTCCAGCGCTGGTGCCAGTCTCTGATCCAGCGCAAACTCCTTGCATCCCACGGTGTCTGTACGGCATGCACACTCCCAGCTGCCAGGCTGAATCCAGTCACTTTAGTTTCTCTTTCCTCCCCTCTGGTCTACTGCGCATGCGCCCGCACACTTCCACCTTCACAGTCGTTCGTGAGCCGGGAGTTCTTCAGCCGGGAGCGAGTGGCACTGGAACAGGTAAGTAATTAAGTATTTGCCTACTTTTTAATTTTTTTAAATCATGGGGCATATATCTACTGCTTCCTAGCAGTAGATATATCCCCCAAAAAAAGGTTTTAATTCTGCTTCAAGTGTGTAAACACCAACAATGAACTGCTCTTATTTGCTTCCTTTTGGTCCTTTAAGGGCCCATTCACACCAATTGTGGTGCGTTCCAGAGCGGTAGCTGCTGGAACGCACAGCAATCGCTCACAAAACTTCCCTCTTCGCTCTAGGGCAGGAGCGTGGCAACACATGGCTTTCGTTTCCGTCCATTGCAAATGCAAAAAATGCTGCATGCTCTGTTTGCGTTTTCAGTGGACCGGAATGCAGGCAATGTTTTGCCAAGCGTCCGATTGCACTGCAGGCGTGAGGGCATGGCAGCAGTGCCATTGACTTCAATGGACCGCCACGCCCCCTCCTACCCCAGAATGAAGGTGGAAATTTTGTGAACGATTGCTGTGCGTTCCAGCATTTGACGCTCTGGAACGCACCGCAATTGGTGTGAATGGGCCCTAAAGGATAGCTAAACCCAAAAACATTGATTGGCTGACACGGAGTAGAGTAGGGGGATAGGTTTATCCTGCATACAATACATTAAGTGTTGTTACCCGAGGACCAGAAGTGTGCGTTACCAGCAGGATCAACAGGTTTAAAGAAAAAAAAAAAGCCTTACAAAAAGGGAAACTAATGTAGCCACCACATCTAGGGACTGGTAAGCTGCAATATATTTCATTATTGTTCTTGGGTTAGATATACTTTAATGGCCAGTGAAACAGGAGCGTGTTTTTCAGAACTGTATGCAACCATCCAAACAATGTAACTAACTGGCAGCGAGGAAAAATTCCTGGTGGACTGTAGCCGAGCACCAATGATGTTAAAAACTATTTCTACCGATGCCCAAAAAGCTCAAAACTGACCAGAGACATTCAGTGTATTCATGGTGGCGTGAACTGGTCAATCAGAGAATGTTTTTCACTAAAATTAGTAAAAATACTCCTAAAAACTGTTGTCTGCAAATTCTTTCATACCACAGCAGTAATACAAAAGTCTTAGCAGTGCTATAGAGTGCAATAGACACTTGAAGGATAAGTACACTTTAAAACAAAGTACATTTATTCTTTTGGCCTTTAAGCTGACCTAATAGATCCCATCCTCCCGCTGAATAGGTGCACACTTAACGAGCTCCAAGGGGTCTGGTTTCCGTTGTTCTACATCCTGCAACAAAATTCTCCCTCTCTTTCCCTTTCCTGACTTATATGGGACCCAGCCAGGAGATGAGGATAGATAAACCCTATAGACGTCAATGGGAATGTACTATGACGGCACACCAGGGAGGAGGAGCCTTTCGCCGCAGGATGTGGATATTCAACGGAGGCCAGGCCAATCGAAACTGGGTAAGTATTCATCTGTGCAGGGGAAGAGTGGGATTGATTAGGTCACCTTAGGGGCGAAAAATATAATTGCACTTGGTCTTAAAGTGCACTTCAGCTCAGCTAAACAATAGTTCATTAGCAAAGTAGAATGAAGAGACTGAGCCCACATTTATTTGAAGCTAAAAACATCATGATCATCATCTTCTATAACTTTTTATTTTCAGACACACTTAACACCTAAAAACAATTATTTATCTTTGAAAACGAATAATGACTTTTTGCCCCTATACGCATTCAACCCAATTCATTAATTTAACCCCTAACCTGAATCTCACAAACATTAGGGTGAAATTTACACTCATGCGACAATAAAACACTATATTATAATGAGGATAAATACTGTAATGAACGTTTAGGCCCCTATATACAATGCACCAAGTTACTGGAACCTTAAACTTGTTAAGAAATCAAAATGATAACAATTGTCAATTTTAACCTTTTAGTTAAATGCATTAAAAATATGTCCTGCATGCAGATTTAATCCAAGGAAAGATATAAAGCCTACCTCATGAAGAAGGGGGACATTGGCCGTTCATCTTCCTGAGAGCTGCAAGAAAATAAGCCAACATGATCATCCAATAAAAGAAAGGAGGAGCTGGTAGACCAGATACAGACAGTACAAGTGTTTCCTTTCATGTTAACCAAAAGCAGGTGTCCATCAGATCTTTAACTACAGACGCTTCGCTAGCTTGGACCATTAAAGCAGGCGTACCACATACACAAACTGAGATGTCATTTTGCAAGATAAAAATTATTCTTCATTATTCAGCTAATCAGTAAAACCCTTTTCAAGGCAGGAGGAGAAACATTCTTTTTTTTTTTAGCAAAATCACCATAAAGCATTTTTTCTCCGGGATGTCTCTGCATCTGAAACATATATACTTTATATATGAAACAAAGCAACCTAAAAATCACAATGCCTATTTATTGGCAATATCCCTTCTTTAAAAAATAAATTACCTTGGTATATTCCCCCATAAAATAAATATTAATTCATACTGGGGCCCCAGAAAAGGACAGTAGACCATGCTGATAGAATAAATGAGCAACATTGCCTTTGATAGGAGGGCTAGCAATATACATCCCTTATGCATTCATATCTCAAAAATGACTTGCTATAGCCCAAAACTATAACAATATATACTCACTGGCCACTTTATTATTAGGTGCACCCTGCTAGTACCAGGTTGGACCCCCTTTTATCATCAGAAGTGCCTAAACTCTGTGGCAAAGACCAAACAAGGTGCTAGAAACATTCCTTGTATCCAACAGGGGATGCATATAATTCACTCCATAGCTAAAATCATCAACTGTAGCCTACACCAATGTACAAGATAACCTTCACATAAGTGACGTACACAACAAAAGTACTAGACCACATAGGCTAGCATAGAAGAACATACGACCAGGTGCATAAACAGAACTGGTTTGATAGCCTGGTGCAGGGGTCAGCAACCTTAAACACTCAGAGCCATTTGGGTCCCTTTGCCTGTACCTCCTCCCAACTCCTCTTACTTGCTGCTGGGGCCTGGCCTCCACCAACCCTTCCCCCGTCACCTCTGCCATGCCACCCCTGGTACAGCTGATAGTCATGTAAGAGGCCCCCCAGGCTGCCCAGACCCCTCACATGCGTACCGGCCGTACCCCCCCTGATGGCATTGTTCTATCAAAGTTTGTGAATAGGTTGGAATATGTGACCGGTGACGTGGTCGAACATTCCAAAGCAAGGAATAAGCCAGGAGCTGTAAGCCAGGACCTTCCTGGGCCCCCCCCCACAGCCTCAGGGGAAGTTCCGCCCCTGGACAGGGAGCCGCAGCAGAGGGATGAAAGAGCCACATGCGGCTCCGGAGCCGCGGGGCTGCTGACCCCTGGCCTAGTGTGATGCTGTGGACTCCAGAACCTAGAGGGTTGGTAGGTCCTTTTTTTGAATTTGAGGTCTTCACTTGGCGAAAAAAAGATAGCTTTGCTGTAACGCAACAGATAATTTTCTACATCAATCAGAAGGTAGTGCAAGACTTGTCAGGTTTACCACACACACAATACACAAGCTTCTACTTAAAACCCCCAAATTAGCATTAGCGCTTCAGAAAATCTGGAAAAAACGAAAAGACTTCTTAAATGTACTGAGATATGGCCAGGACCACTAGGGAGTGCAGGGTGCCACCTGCTGGAGTATGTACAAGCTGTTCAAATCTGAAGTGATCCTTACCAATCTTGTAGCCTTAGGTTATTACTAGATTACCGAGGCAGGAGAAACCAAAAAAAAAATGAATCGGTGGCCACGCCAACCTATAGCAAAATATGTAATTCTGCAGCCCTCACACATCACCTTCTTTGCCCAAACATAACTACCTGTGGTTGAATGATTTTTAAATGTCAACAAACCAATAAAAGCAAACCATTTGTCATGAGCAAATACATATTATGGAAGGAAATGTGGATTATAAATAGTTTCCACTTAAGTGACTATTTATCAGCATAATAAACTGAGCATTAGTAACTACCAAGTCACCGCAAGCACAAAAACACACAATCATACGTGCCATCAGCACTTGAGTAATTCAGCATTCCATTACTGACATTTTAATGGTCGTTATACAGTAACTGCAGCTACACATACAGCATTTTATAAAGTACAAAACTACTGAATGGAATCAATGACATGAGCAAGACAGAATACTTACACAGAGGACTCTGAAGGACAACATTCCCATGCTAACACTTGTTGAATGATGCCAGTGCTGTGCTACTGCGCTAATACGACACCACTGCAGCTGTTGCGTCTAGCAGGCACGGGACCAGCCAAGGTCGTTCTCTCAGCTGTGGAAGATTACTGAAACTTCAATGGGGCTGGATGTAACCTACGATTGTACAAGTGTCCAGTAACGCATGGATACAGCTGGACGGAGTGCTGCTCCACATCAAAACAAACACATGAGGCTTCTGAGTAAGATGAGCTTCTCCGACCTAGACAGTCCTGTTATAGCGTTACTTTATGCCGATTGTGGGGGGGGGGGGGGGGGTACAACCATGCGTTCACGTATACCGTTCTATTTATAACTTGTGCTCCTTGAACCTAAAAGGAGAGACAAGGACATCTGCCAGGGTGCATGGTTTATTGTACACATACACACAGCAGGCTTCCTGCTTGCATTCCGTCTTGCTGTGTCAGAGATGGGATTACACATCTATGGCACACTCACCATTGACACAATGTTCCTGTTACATCAGACACTGAATAGCCGGACTAATAACGGAGAGGAAGCACAACTCATAAAATAGATCATGCATGTCTACAGCAAAAACGGCTCTTTTATACACTCACTGGCCGCTTTATTAGGTACACCTCTTCAACTGCTCATTAACACAAGCATCTAATCAGCCAAATCACATGGCAGTAACAAAACCAGGGCTTGAAAAGTCCGTTTGTCCTCTTGTCTGTGACGAGAGGACGCCGGAGCGCGCCGAGCAGCCTCCCGGCCGGCCGCGAGCTTTGCATTCAAGCGACGTGCGTCTCTAGAGACGCCCGATTGCTTGTATTAGCAGCTGTCAGTGCCGTTTCCTGGTCCCGAGATCCGCTGTGCCCAGTGCTGCCGGGACCGGCACGGCTGCTCTGTGACAGGAGATCAAAAGGAACATCGGTACCCGACCTCCCTCTGATCTCCTCTCCGTCCCCGAATGCAGGAAGTTTTGTATGTTATCCGCATTCTGCTGTCACTCTCCAGCTTCAGAAGCTGGGAAGAAGCAGATCTCTGCTTCATCAGCTTCTCTGGGGGCCTGATCCCTGATGTCTCCATAAAGAGGACCCGTCATGTAAATTGGCTATCACATAGGGGGCTTCTTAGCTCCCATGTGATAGCAATAAAGTTAAGTGTAAAAAAAAAGTAATAAAAAAAATTAAAGAAGCATAAAATAAAAAAAATAGTCCCCCGCTCCCCACATACACATTGAAACATGCGACGGGTGCGCCTACGTGCCGCACATGTTATGTCGGAGTGAGAGCAATAATTTTATGGTCATTAATCACTGATGACACTAAACTGATTAGCAGTAAAAGCGCCTATGGCCAATTTTTGGTGTGGTCTTTTTTTTGCGATTTTGCAAACTTGGCATGTTTGGTTTCTATTTACCCGACGTGACCCCGGCATCTCTGAACACACAACACATTGAACCTTGAAGCCGATGAGCTAGAGCCAAAGAAGACCACACCGAGCGCCACTTTTGTCTGCGAAGAACAGGAAACTGAGACCACACTTGGCAAGGGCTCACCATAATTGTAAATAAAAGATTGGAAAGACGTTGCCTTGTCTGACGAGTCTCCATTTCTCCATAGTTAAGGTCCTTGAAAGCATTTTGAAGATTTAACTCCTGAGGTTAGTGTCACTTTACAGCTTGTGATTGGAGTATAATGTGCAATTGTTAGGTAACAGAGTAGAACAGATTATCATCATTGGCGAGGTTGGATACGACGTCTCCCATAAGACATTCCACGGGTGTCTATTTAATATACAGAAATGCATGTTTTCCTAAATGCCAACTGACTGATGATATCTTCCATCTAATAAATAGGGAACATAGGGATCATATTAAAAAAAAACAGGACTTGACCTATAAAAAGACTGATGGTACTATCAGAATGTGACAATTTCACTTTGCACACCTCAGTATTAGAAACCTCAAATATCCATCATCCTTCAACAAGCTGAAAAGAGGTCAGAGCAGTTGGCACTGTATAAACCTTATGCTAGAGGCAAAGTACACAATGTGAACAGTGCATTCAGCCTCCACCCTGACCAGTCACCTACAACCAGTTCTTTCCAAGCAAAGGCTGGTTACATGGTCAGTTCAGAATGCGCGTCACAAGAAGTAGGCCAGTGGATTCCAAATGGCATAGGCCCCGTGTTGCAGAACACTACTGCGATACTAGGATACACCCTGATTAAGATTGTATTACACCGCATGCATACAACAACACTGGCAACATTTTATAAACCACTTGTTAACACACAAAAAAAAAGGAACAAAAAAAAATGGGTAAGGTGAGAGGTAAAAGCTGAAAACTACATGAAAGTTATAGCTTTTGCTGAAAGCAATCACATCCTTTCTTCCATTTACAAAATGAAAACCGTTTGGCTACAACAACTCCACGCTCATTTCTTAGACCGGTCCTGGAGCGTCTCTCCCCCTCTTCTGTGGCCTAAGGTCCCTGAGTCATCAGTGTATAGGATGCAAGGACATTCCATGGCTATAGGGTTTAGGGAGCTCCCCTAGAGAGGCTTCAGGGAGCTCAGTCACAGCCGGGCAGCTTGGAGGATCAGGCGAATAGAACTTTTATTTTCAGCCCTAGACCAAAACGCAGTTAACAATTTAAAAAAAAAAAATACCAGGAGTTCTTAACATGCAATGTTTCCAGATCTTTAACCCTGTTAGGAGTGTTCAAATCTAGTTTACAACTAGGGCTGCAACCAACTAATCAATAATGAGATTAGTTGTCAACTATTCTCATTATTGATTAGTTGGTGGGATCCCCTAGCTCTCTCCTCTATG